GAGGTGGAACCGCATGCGGACCCTGACACTTGGGCCTTCGGTGGAGCTCCCTATGGGGCCACGAAACGTGTGAGGGGTGCGCCGAAATGGAGGTGGAACCGCATGCGGACCTTGCCACTGGGGCCTTCGGTGGAGCTCACTATGGGTCCACGAAACGTGTGGCCATGATGGAGACGGCGATGATGATGACGACGATGGTGATAAGAACGATGATGATGATGATGCTGATGATGACGGTGACGATGACGATGATGATGATGCTGATGATGAGAGGAGGAGGAGGAGGAGGAGGAGGAGGAGGAGGAGGGGGAAGAGGAGGAGAGGAGAGGACGCGGGCACCGTCTCTTCAAAACGAGGACCCAACACCACAGGATGGTTGGGAAAAAAAGGCTGTCGAGCATCGAGATCACATGCGTTCGCTTGTCCACATTAGCTAGAACTTCAGCGCGTGCGCCAAGAGGGAACACAAAGAGAGGACCCCTCCGAAGCGCTACGCGTGCTTTGCCTCAAGATGGCCCGACGGTTCTTCCCAGGGCTCTCGAGGCGCCCCCCCGGATGCCTTCAGGGACACCTTGGAGGCCCCCAGGAAGCACCAAGATCCTTCCCCAAGAGGCCCCGAAAGACCACCAAGACGCCACCAGCATGCATTCAGGAGGCTGGTCACCCACTGCCCAGGCCTGGCAATTTGAAACAAAGGATTCCCCACTATTAGCAATAGTATGAATAACTGAACTAAGGATGATGATACATTGCCCCCTGCAGCCTTGGAGGGCTTGGAATCATTGCGGGCAAGCCTGATTCCTGCGTTTACGTATTTTCCCCTTCTATACAATTCCGAGGTTTGCGCAGGGCCTCCAAGAGAGCCCCTAGATGCAAGGAGTTTCAAACATGAGATTCCGTGCGTTAGCCTATCCAGCCTAGCTAGACTAGTATATGTATCGGAGGTGAGGGGGTGAGATCGAAGTGGAACGGAGAGCCCCCCCACCGGGAAATCGGTTTCGGTTTTGTGTTCGTGCGTGCCGTGCGCACGGGCGAGGCGAAGCTGCGTGGGCGGGCGAGAAGTGTCCCGCCTCTGGCTGAGGCGCGGCCAGACCAAATCTTTCCTGTCTGGGGCCCGGTGGCGCGAGGTGTCCCGCTGGTGCCCCGTCGGTGTCCCGATGATGATGATGATGATGATGACGATGATGATGATGATGATGATGATGATGATGATGATGATGATGATGATGACGATGTTGATGATGATGCTGATGATGGCAACGGTGGTGATGATGATGGTGTCCCGATGATGATGATGCTGATGATGATGATGTTGATGGTGCTGATATTGCTGATAATGATGCTGGTGTGGCGAGGATGATGATGTTGATGATCCTGATGATGATGATGGTTTTCGATGTCCTGATGATGAGATGATTCTGAAGATGATGATGATAATGGTGTCCCGATGATGATAAGGTTTATGCTGATGCTGTTGATGATGATGGTGATGATGGTGTCCCGATGATGGTGATGATGATGTTGATGATGAGGATGATGATGAGGTGATGTTGCTGATGATGATGATGGTGTCCGGAGATGATGATGCTGATGTTGATGATGATGATGATGGTGTTCCGATGATGATTATGATGATGATGATGATGATGATGGGGATGACGATGATTATGACGATGAGTAATGGTGTTCCGATGATGATGATGTTGATGATATTGATGTTGTGGATGATGATGGTGGTGTCCCGATGATGCTGATGATGTTGATGATGTTGTTCATGATGATGATGATTTGATGGTGATGGTTGTGTTCCGATGATGATGGTGTGATGGTGTCCCAATGACGATGATGTTGATGATGATAATGGTGACGATGATGGTGCCCTGATGATGATGGTGATGATGATGGCCATGGTGGTGATGATGGTGATGATGGTGATGTTGATGATGATGTTGCTGATGGTGATGATTGTGTCCCGATGATGATGATGATGATGATGATGATGATGATGATGATGATGATCGTGATGATGTCGATGATGAGATGATGAACTGAAGAGATGATGTTGACGATAGTGTCCCGATGGTAGTGATGCTATTGATGATGATGGTGATGATTGTGATGGTGTTCCGATGATGGTGGTGACGATGATGGTGTCCCGATGATGATGATGATGATGATGATGATGATGATGATGATGATGATGTTGATGTTGGTGATGAGGATGCTGATGAGGTGATGATGATGATGATTTTGATGATGCTGATGCTGATGATGATGTGTTCCGGTGATGATGGTGATGGCGAATAGGATGATTGTGACGATGATGATGGTGTCCCGATGATGATGATGCTGATGCTGACGTTGTTGCTGATGATAATGATGGTGCCCCGATGATGATGATGTTGATGATGTTGTCCATGATGATCATGATGATGATCAGATGATGATGATGGTGGTGGTGTTCCGATGATGATGATGATGATGATGATGATGATGATGGTGTCCCGATGATGATGATGTTGATGATGATGGTGACGTTGATGGTGTCCCGGTGATGATGTTGGTGATGATGATGGTGATGATGATGGTGATGAGGTGATGATCATGATGGTGTCCCGATGGTGATGATGTTGATGGCGTTGATGGCGATGATGTTGATGATGATGGTGATGACGGTGATTGTGAGATCGATTGCTATATCGGTAGTGAGAGCGATAGTGGGACCGAATGAGAGATAGATCGTGAGATCGAGAGTGAGATCGATTGTGAAATCGATAATCAGATCGATTGTGAGATCGATCGAATGAAATAGATCGAGTGAGATCGATTGCGAGATCGATCGAGTGAGATCGATCGAGCGAGACCGATAGTGAGATCGATCCTGAAATCGATAGTGAGACCGATCGAGTGAGACGTTGGTTCCTCCCCGCCCCGAACCTCCTTATCACCAGAAGGGTGGTCGTTTAGATGTGTATATATATATATATTTACATATATATGTATATATTTGGCGTCCTCGGCGCAGGAGGGCGCTTGATAATCAGCCACGTGAGCTGATTTCCTGGAGATCCGACGTCGAGAAAAATGACAGAACCGACGGACGGAGCCCAGGGGGGCCTTGGACCCCATCTTTCTGCGGCATGTGTCGAGCCGGGTCGATCTGTGAGGGTTCTTGGGCCCGCAAACCCTGCGAACACGTTGTTCGTGGTGATCGATGCAGTGTCAAGATCTCTGGATCAGTTGTCTCCCTTTTGTTCTCCCCCCCTTTCGTCCGCCGTGACCTTGCTGGGCGCAAGGTTCATTCGATCTGTACGGAGCGCTTAGAGAGGAGCTGAAAGGTCTATCTGTCTGCCGCGCCTCTCTCCGAGGCGGGGAATCATCCATAGGCACCGCCAAGGAAATCGATCTTCGGGTGCCTATGCATACTCCCAGACCTCCAACGCATTGAAACTAGCCTGGCGAAGGACCCAATCAGATGCAGCTGCGAGCATCGCGAACCAGGTGGAAGGGGAGGGGGGCATTTGCGAGCCGATTCCTGCAAGTCGGCCCGGAGACGTGCCAGGGTGGCATGCCGAGCAGCAAAGCCCGGATTGAGCCGGGTGGCCTCTACAACCGCTCTGGTGGCGTGGAGTCCGAGTTCAAAACAATTTTTTGTTGTAAAGGATATTTGAAAGTTGATGGTTGATGCGAAACGAGTGCACGCGCGTTGAAGTATGTTTCCGCAGAGGATGAGAGGGGTGTCACACTGAGCTTAGCTGGGACGGTGTGCGCTCATAGTTCGAGCGAACGATGGGGTAGAAAAGTAGTCCCTCGTGGTGGTGATGAACGTTGAGCGACCTATGTGGTGCAGTTTCTTTACAAGAACTTGGAGGTCACTCCCCGCGCAATCGTCGCATCTCTGCGGCCGCGGTGGCGCGCGCACGCTCGCGCGCACAGCGGCTGGCTGCTTTGGCGCAGCCGGCGCGGACGCAATAGCACCCAACGATGGGGTTACCCAGCGCGTCTGGCAGGCCGCATTGGCGCGCGGGCACTGCAGTACAAATCGGTGATTTTGGCGGACGCAGGACACCGACATCGGCGGAAACGATGATGTTGGTAGCGATGATGGTTGCGATGATGACGATGACGATGGCAAAACCAATGACGGCGCTCATGCTGGCCATGGCGATGACGATAAAATGTGTTCACGTTTGGGTGATGAGGGTATTGGACACATTTCGACATACGTTTGCGGCCGACGCGCGCGAGTGGCCCGCATTATGGTATTTGACAAATTCCGACGCGCGCGCGAGAGGCTGATTTGGTCGCAGATGGTGAAAGTGTTGAAAACATTGGCTTCGTACGAAGTCGCAAAACGCGCGCTCATGTCCGAAACTTCACGTTGCAGCGCCATCTGGTTTGTTTTGAGTGTGTGTTCCGGGAACTTTGGTTTCGAAATTCTTACGACACCCACAGTGTTCGAAGGATGTTGGCATGTACGCGCAGAAGAATTGCGCGCGCATAGTAGTATTCGACAGGGACGAACAAGGGGCAATAACGGCCTTTCTGTGGGTTGGTCGGAGTTCATTTCGTAAGATGCACGTTTGGGCAAAACCAGATGTAAATTGCAGTGTCCGGCGGGGTGTCGATTGAAACGGGGGGAATATCATATTTTGAAAGAAGGAAATGTCATGTTGTGATTCCAGGTTGTGAAATCTATACGGTGTAATTCATGTCGTGCAGTCCATGTTGTGCAATCTGTGTGGCGACGGAGCGGTGACGGCGGCAACATGTCCGCGAGATTGGCCAGCAAGGCCCAGACGACGGGCGGCGATGAAGTGGCGACGCGGCGGCGCTGGCGGCAACATAGCCGCCAGATTGCCAGCCAAGCCCAGCTCCGTAGAATCAGAAGTAAGAAAACCTTATTTGCCGAAACGGTTTGGGGAAACATTGTGTTGTGTTGAACACAGCCATTGGCCAGTAGTTGTTGCTGCGTGTTGCCTTCAAGTGGATTGTTTACTCGTGAAGTGTTGCCGCCGCCCTCAGCCCTTTACACTCTTCCGAAAACCGTGTTGTGGTTTGTTTTAAGCGTGCATCTTTCTGTGTGGCCCCGTGAGGTCCCGCAACTAGTCTGGTTCAAGTGGTGAATTCAGTTGATGGGTTGATGATTACTGGGTCCTTGAGGCGTTGTTTTCACCGCAGTGGTCGCACGTCTCATTATGCCGGATGCCCCTGCCAAAACTGAATTCGGAGATCCGGACGTCGACTCTATTTGGGGGCTATTGCAAGGATCTGCAGAGAGGACAGAAGTTGATGTCTCTGGAGGTGCCAGCATATCACCATCTGCGACCGTAGAGAAGGAGTTCCCAGTAGAACGTGAGCTTCATGGCGAGTTCCCCCAGCCGGAAGACACGACCGAGACTGTCCACCAAAAGGAGTTGGTGTTTTCCATTATTTCGTGTGGCCCTTGGCGGCGTGTTGGACGCTTTCCGTTTATACTCTCGTCTTGCAGTGAAGCCTCAATACCATGTTCTACTCCGCTCACAGTTGCTGACCAGCTCTGGGCGCAGTTGTATGATGAAGACGGCGAAGAAGTTTGCGACACGGGTCTTGTTTCCATGGTTGATGAGGACTGGGCATGCTTGAATTGCGCAGGCGATGGAAGTGCGGACCCGCGATCCACCAGGCTCTTGTCTTGTACAAAAGAGTGTGGACGGGGATGGTCAGTGTCGTTTGATGTGAAGCAGCTTCCAGAAGGTAGTTCTGTCAGTCATGTTCTACGTTTTGTGAGGGTTGCGAAATCGCGCTCTTCCGTGTCACATACTTGCGAACACGAGCATTATCATAGTTCCATTGTTCTGCGTGCATCCGACGTGAAGGATTGTTTGGACTGTACCGACGCAGCTGCTTGCAAGGAAGCATCCCTTACCCCATCCAGGATAATATCGGGTATTGGCCAGCGTTCCTCCATGCACGATGTCTTGCAGAGATTGGCACTTTTGGACGAGGCCCAACTTCCAGCACGATTGCTTCAGCCAGGACTTTGGACCTCGATGTCACGTGGCGTCAGTATGCAAGGTGAAATCCAGAGGGGGCAGATGAACGTCACCGAGGATTGCTTAGAGCATGCTTCTGCTGCGTTCAGGCAGAGTGGCTTCAGTATGCTGGAGGGCCTTGCCTGGGAGCAGGCAGGCATCTCACCCCAGGCCGTCGCGGCAACGGTGCAGTCTCTGGGCTGCCACGGTTTCCCACCAGTTTTTATTTTCATGTACGACGAGCCGTGGTTGTTGTTCGAGAAGTTGTTCAAGGTAGCAGCAGATGTTCTGTGCTGCGGCGCCGTAGAGATGGATTCGGCTGTGTTTGCGTGGGCGCTTCGCCCTGCGGGGCAGGACGGCGCCGTGGGGAGCAACTTCAGCAGGCCGCACCGTGACTGCAGCTATGATGCCTGCCACACGGAACTCGGGAGCCCCAGTGCCATGAGCGTGTGGATTCCACTCGTTCACGTGACCACAGACAGTGGCTGCATGTATGTTGTCCCCTCGGAGCACGATTGATGGGCCTGTTTTCCACCACCACCATAAGTTGGAGGGGGAAGGAGGTTGAGGACGAGTAGGAGGAGGACGCAGAGGAGGAGGAGGAGGAGGAGGAGGAGGACACCCTCCCCCTATAACCTATGGTGGTGGTGGTGGAAAACAGGCCCGTCAACGATCCCTTGTTCGACAAGTCCACGGACTCGAGGCACATGTGCCCCGACCAGCAGCTGCCCTGGGCGCACATAAAGCCCCTGCCGTGCTCCGCGGGGGACGTGCTCCTGTGGCAGGGCAACCTGATACACTGGGGCTCCGCGTGCAGCAAGAACGCCGTACAGCTCGAAAAAGAAACAGCTGCACTGACATACACTTTCGGAGCCCAGCTCGGATGTCTTGGATCGTCGCTGTGGCGCCCTGGGCGGCGCCTGCGGCCCCGTCCCTGGCGCGCGGGGGGTCCGCGCCGGTCCAAGAAGTCCGCGCGGAACTCCGACAGTTTAGGCTCGTGCAGTTGTTTTGTTCTTCTTACAGCCTCGAATAAGCCTCGGAACAAGTTTTCGACTACCAGGTGAATCATATTCGCAGGCCGGCAAGCTGGACACCATCTCCCAAGCAATGGTCGAGGGCGGCTTGAGCCCACGGGCGCGGATGAGAATAATAATATCTTCTTTGCTCGGATACGAGCGGTGGCATCCCGGGTTTAAAGGATTCCACGGGTTCAATGATCTTTTTGGATGTGCAGCATGAGTTCAGTATTATTATCCAACGGTGCATTGTGGTCCATCGTTTTCTGAAGCGGCATTTTCATCCAGTCTAGCTTTCGAGAGATTCGGATATGTAATGTGCGGGTCAAGCGGAACAACATGGAAGAGAGGCACGGAGGGGGAGGTGAGGATGAGAGGGCTGAGGAGGAGTCGACAGATTTCGCCCTTTCTCTGATTGATTCGTGGATTGAGGGAGGTCGGGTTAGTTTCGTCTGGGAGTGGTTTCGGCTAGGCACCAGTCGATTACTTTGGGCCATCGTATTGCCTTCAGGGTGGCAGGTTTTCTTTGGGCTCTGCTAGGGCCTTCATCTTGGGGGAATCGAGGATAGTTGATGTTTAATCCTGCCGTTTCCTACGACGCGCATGTTAGGCCTATCTCGAGATTTCCTCTGGACATCTTGGGTGATCGTGGACGCACCTTGAGATCTCAAGGTTCTGAGGGGTGGCACCTTCAGGCCAGGTCGGCCAGGTCAGCATTGTAGCTGGTTCACTCCCTTTAGCAATATAATGGTGGAGATGTGGGACCTCGTGGGAGCAAGTCGTACTTTCCTTGGATGGGCAATTCTTTGCAATTTTGAGTGGCCCGCAGAGACCCATGAATAGCTTGAGAGCGTCAGAGGAGCCCTGAGCGGCCCTAGGGAGCCCTAGGAATCCCCCGGATACCATGGGAAGCTGTACAAGACCTTGGAGATTTTGGGAGCGCGCTTCGCGACCAGAGGCAGATGGACAATGGTCAAGAGGTGCTGATTTGTTGCTCCCTTTGAAATCCCATGGCGGCTGCCCTGTTCTCACACGCCTGCTTCTTGCTCCAAAAGTCTGCCTTTCGCAGCCCAGTAGCCCACCACAGGCTCACCCAGTGGATCCACGAGGGCGTCGGTGGGTTCGGCGGCAAATCGTGGGAGCCTGCTATACCCTCTTAAGTCCTTGAGAGTCGATCAGCGTTGATCGGCGTCTGGAGTCAATGAGAAGATAGCGCCGATTCAGCGTCGGTTAACGTCGATTAGCGTCGAACGCGTCTGGAGTCGAACCTGGGCGTATCTCATGGCGCCCTTTCGGGAGCCTTTGGGACCTGCGTGTGGCTGTCTTGACGGATCGGAGGGTCGTTGCAGTGGTTTGTAGTTGATGTTGTTTTGATGGTTGCATTTCTGTACATAAAAGTTGGCAGGCCCATTGCAGAGGGTACAGAAGGGCTGCGTGCCAGGGGTTTCAGGACTCGCAAGTTCTTCGCAGGGTCGCTCTGAAGTGTAACGTAGGGAGTGGGACGAGGCCTTGGAGGTGTTACAGTGGCTGCATTGAAATGGCTGTCACCCCAAATTGCTCACGCCCCGAGGGCCGCTGAGGTTTACAGGTGGCTGCTGAGAGCATACGAACAGGATCGGGCAAGGCTTTCGGCATAGGATTGGACAGGGATCGCCCCCTCGCCCCACAAGGCAAAATCTTGGTGAGGCGGCAAAGATGAACTCGGTGCGACCCTAATCGGCGGTATGCTTCCCGCTGAAAGCATGCACGTGCAACGCAGTACGGACAGGCACAACGTAATGAGTTGCCATTCGCTGCAGAGCATACCATAGTCTTACATTCTGGCGCAACGCGTATGCTCGCCGAGGATGCCATGGCAGTACCATTGTGTAGCGGGCAGTAGTAATGTTCAATCGCGTGCCCTGGTGTTGCATCGTATTGCATTGCACGCCACCGCCTATCATCGCATACCGCAGCACGTCATAGCTTATACCATCCAGGCATAACACAAGCCAGATCCCATCGTCATTCAAGTGGCTCCGCCGACCCCCACAAGGATTACAGAGTGCTTGAGACGATCGTGGAAGTTCTACCTTGGGTCAGGAGACTCTTGGATATATAGCGGGGCGCTTGGGGTGCTTCTTGGGGTTCTCTTGGACGGCTTCTGGAGGCATCTGGGAGGCTTTTGGGGGGCCTCTCGGGGGCTTCTTCGGGGCGCCTTGGAGGCCTCTTGGGGCCTCTTGGAGGGGCCTCGGGAGCCTTTGGGGGGCGAGGCTCGATGGGCCATCTTGGTGGGAACGGCTCGACATGTCAGTGCGTAGTCCCCCTCTCTGGGCTTTTTGTTGGAGTCCTCTTTGGGCCCTCCAGGGGCCGTCTGGGGCCGTCTTGGGGGGTGGGCCTTGGGCTGTCTTTGGGCCCTCTTGGGCCGTCTTGGGACATTCCTGGAGGCATCGTGGGGCGACCTTGGGGGCCACCTGGGCCGTCCTCTTCGCTGTCAAACGCAAGCTGCGGATATGCTGGAAATTAAAGTTTTTCAAAGAAGATGGGGCGATTGTGGCCTCTTGGGGCCCTCTCGGCGATCCTCTGGAGGCGCTTCTGGGCTGTCTTTGGGGGCCTCGTGAGCCATCTTGAAGCCATCTTGGATCGTCGTGGGGCTGCGCTGGGCCGTCATGGCGCTCACTTCGACTGTCTTGGCGCTCCGCGTGGGCCCTGTTGGGCCGTCTTGGTACTTTTTCGCGGCTCCGGAGGCGCGTTCTGGGAAGCGTTGACGAGCTCGTGCCCCTCACCCCTGCCCCACCCCCGCCCCTCTGATGCCAATTTTTGCTCCGGGGGAGGTTGACTGGGGGAAGGGAACAGCCTTAGTGGGCCCTGGAAACGACGGCCTTTTTTTTACCAGTTCCGTTTTGCCGTTTTTGTTGCCTGTTCCGACGCCTTTTTTTTTCGCCGGTTCCGTCGCCGTTCTTCTACAGGTTCCCGCTGCGGTTCCAATCCTGGAGCCGTTTTTGTTGCCGTTTCTGGTCGCCGTTGTTGCCGTTTCCATTTTCAAGGGACATTTTTTCGGAACCAGTGAAAAAACGGCCCGTTTCCGGGGCCTGGGGGTCCCCCCCTCTAATGCAAATTTTTGCTCCGGGGGAGGTTGAATGGGGGAGGGGAACATCCAATTGTCTCACGTGCCTTTTCGCCCACGACAAGAAGGGGGCGGCGGATGACGGGAAGCGTCTTCGAGGAACGAGAAGCGAGCTGGACGTTTTGGCTGAATCCTCCTCATATCAGTAAGAGATCTCTTAACTATAGGGGGTGGCGGGCCGCACGGTGTACCAGGCTTAGCGGATTCCTCGGGATGGCGATTTTACATGAGACATCCTCACAACAATTAGATATTAGCGACATCGCGTTTAACAAAAAATACTCACTGCGTGGAGCTCCCCATATGTGCATCTCATGTTTTATTCCCCATATCCTAAGATGGGGGTCTTGTTATTACTTGGACGCCTCCTACTTCCTCTCCCTCCTCCTCTTTCCTCCTCCCCTCCTCCTCTTTCCTCATACTCAGACCTACTCATACTCAGACTTACTCATACTCAGACTTACTCATACTCAGACCTACTCATACTCAGACTTACTCACACTCAGACTTACTCATACACAGACTTACTCATACACAGACTTACTCACACCCAGACGTACTCATACACAGACTTACTCATACCCAGACTTACGCATACACAGTATTACTCATACTCAGACTTACTCATACCCAGACGTACACATACACAGACTTTCTCATACACAGACCTACTCATACCCAGACTTACTCATACACAGACTTACTCATACACAGACTTACTCATACTCAGGCATACTCATACTCAGACCTACTCATACTCAGACTTACTCAACACACATCAGATTTGGAGGATGTCTCAAGCGGGGCGCTGGTTTCAGCACCCCTAAGGGGAGCCGCCAGGGGTGTTTGCACGGGCTCGTTCGCGGCCATTTTGTAGGGATGTCTCAGGCGGTTTGCTTGTTTCTGGGCTCGACATCCTTCGCTTGGAGAGCACCCAGGGCACGTCCCCTGGCACGTCGCCTGGCGCGTCCCTTGGGACGTTCTGCGGCGCGTCCTCCTGGGGCTTACCCCTCTGTCGATTACTTCTGGGGCAGCTACCATCTGCTCAGGCAGCTCGAGCTTGAGATCCAGATCAGCTCGGTCAGGACTCGGATGCCAGGGAGGACTCGATCCACAACGCTATATAGAGCACAATCGCGGCATGGCACATCGCAGTTCAGCACGGCGTAGCACAGCACAGCCCTCGGCACGTACTCCAAGATCGATACATTCAGCATTGCATTTGCCCGTCGCCCAATCAGGTGTTTGTGAAACGTTTCCACGCATTACATTTCTATATTCCTTTCCGGGTTCGTGGGTCGATCATTGTTTTGTGAAAGGTTTTTGGAAGTTGTTTTTGAAACGCTGTCCAAAACCTTCTTCGCACCCCCCCCCCAGGATAACCTTCCAAAAACTTCGCATGAGAAAACCTTCTTCAAGAAGAATCCAGGAGAGGTTCGTCGGAACTCCCGCACCTGTTTCCCCCGAGAAGTCAAAAACATTGCTTCCCGATTTGGATTCTTGCTGTTTTGCCGCTTAAGGCGAGCCAAGTCGGCCCAAATAGCCCGCAATACCATCCCATGACAGCCTAAAAGCCTCCCAAAATGACCACAGGAGGTGTCCAAGACAGGCCACGAGGGTCCCACAAGATGCCCCCAGAGACCTAAGAAGGCGCCCCCGAGACGAACCCAAGCCAGACATCATACGGCACCGCGACGGCCCCGGGAGGCTTCGCGACGGTTCGGAGGAGCGCAAGGGGGCCCAAGAGGGCTCCAAGACTACCCATGAGGCCACTCCGCAGCCGTTTTATGTTCAGCCACACGTTACATCTCCTCGCAGTCATCCTTTATTAGGGTAGTCTTTTCTCTTTCTGTTGGCAGGGATGGCGACGACCAGGAAGGCGCCGTGGACCATATTCGTGGTGGCGCTGCTTGCCCAGGGCGTGCCTACCACGACATCCATGATGGTGGGAGAGCACATCCATCGCGACATCCACCACCGCGACGCCTCGGGCACCAGTGCCCATGAAGGGCCCGAATGGTTGGTTGGAGTCAGCACAACAGGTGATGCTGTGTGCAGGGTTGAGGACGAGTGTATTGTCGGATCTGGTTCGGGCAGTTGCACGGTGGGTGTGAAACAAGGTGCGGCGGTCCAGTTGGTCAGCACCGATTCGGGGTATGATTCAGTCTTCACAGGAGCAGGAAACGAAGAAGCGCAGAGCAACCATGGCGAGTATACTCCGCCTGTGCCGGCAATCAC